TGGACCAAAAGCAAACTCAAATTCGTATCAATTTTTTTTTCAATTACACCGAAGCCAAAATGTTAGAAACTGCAAACCAAAAAAGTATTTTACATCTACTAGGAAAGGATCCGGAAGTCTTAAAACTTCACTGCACTTCAGTGTAGTTTAACATGCTCCGAACTTTGAGACACGGTTCAGGTTCAGCACAGAGTAACAGTCAAAAAAGAATTTCATGCTGATGTAGTTTCCTAGCTTGAACGCAAGTTGCTCTGGTAAAGACAGGAAAGTCTGACAAACACGACTCGTGAATGTAATAAAAAGGGTACTGTCGAAAATCTTGTTTCTCTTGCCTAAAATTATATGCGTTGTTTCGTTTTTAACCTGTATCTATTTTTTTCAACCGTTAACCCCTTTGGGAACACAAACAACGACATTAATTTGTGGCAGGAGAAACTGTCTCCGCCTTCAGGGATGAAGATAGAGGCAGCATGTTCCTGGAAGGAAGCAGGGAGAAAATGGACGAGGGTCACGGGAATGGACTACAGGATGCACGCCTATGTGACTACCATCAGTGCAAAACACATTTACTAACGAAATACACGACTCTCAACTCAGGCTGTCTACTAGGAATCAATGGTTTCTGAACGCTGCACAGTACACACAGCATAGCAACTTCTTATCTACTTCAAATGTCGCATACCGATTTACATCCGTCTCCCCTCCAACTCAACAAATATGGTTACAGTACTTATCAAAACGTTACGTACTCTGCTTGCAAGTCCACGCAGCATTGCAGCGTAGAGGGCCAACATCCACATCTTCACCGCCGTGAGAACCTCATCTCAAAATCAGGCAATGTGAGCGTAGCGTAACAATGCTGGCGCCATCGTCAGATCTCAATCGAACAGAAGCAAACATGGTAACCACTGTAGCCTGAAGATATCCCATTGGGTCATTCTTTCAATAGACTACAATCTTTACGTTTTATGGTGTGTGGTTGTTGAGAGGCGTAAAAAGGCAAAGGAGTGTGGAAATATTTGCTCATTTCCGAAAAGTTTAACGGCTTTCACATGTACATAAAAGGTCATACTGCAAGGGTAATAGGAAATTTAAATTAAGTTTTCCAGTGTCCTTGATGTATTATCCAGGATATAAAATAATTATTCGTTCTATTATTGATCCGACGTCGTTGGATTAATTTAATATGCAATCAATAATATTCTCGTCGCCTTGGTTGTGAAGGGCAACAACTGGCAAAGAAACACGAAAACTAAATAAACAGTTAAACCAATACCGTGGCAGCAGAGCCCGAAGGTCAACACCGCTAGCACTATATAAGGCGCGAATTTGTGCGCCTGAGGACGGTTATAATTAAAAGGCGTGGTAGGGGCAGCAGATAAGGAGGCGTACATCGTCCATACAAAAACATAATTTACCAACAGCAATTCATTGTATTTCACCGTCTCATTCCTTCGACACTGTCTTTGGTTTACAAAATAGGCCTATGTGCGTCTGTTTCCTTCTGTCCTCAAGCTAGTGACGCAGGCAAAGCGCACGGTATGGCCCCGGTTACAGTTCTGTCATCCTCGCAGCTTTCTCCGAAAGTTCCACCTCAATGTTACCCTCCCGCAACCTTCTCGGCCCTCCAAGTCACATCTGGAAAAAATCGCAGTAACTGCTTTTACAGGCAGCTGGTGAGACTTACGTAGTACTCGAACATTGCATCGCTTCAGTATTACCAGCATGGTAGGTACAATGACCTTTAAGAAACTAGTTTTGTGCAGTGAAAGTTAGAAATTAAACAAGTTATAAATGTAACAGAAAACCGAGCGGTCGTCCCAAAGAAATATGATAAATGCTACGACCCACTGTCGTAATTCGGCAACCATATTCGCCTCACAGTTGGACGTCATTGATACAACCTATGTTTGCGCTGCGATGAACAAATTCCTGATTCTGTTGAGTCGTTCAGAAATTGTAAGTCGCTCAGTTGGGCAAAACGTTCCCACCGGTAGGTTCATTATTGTGACCACAAAAACCTAAGATATTTGAATCCAGTTCGCGCCCTCAAACCCTATTTTTAAGATCCATTTTGATATTATCTTCTCATCTACGCCTGATCACCATTTAGACCTACGGACTACGGATTGTAAGTCTCAAACATTTCCAATGAAATTCTTAATCCTTTGAAGCCGAAGGCATTTAAGAAATTAGTCCTCATCGCAAAGAAAACAACACTTCACCGTTACAAACATTAATTGGCTCATGCTTCCACGTGTTTTAAAGGGATAGTGTCTTATCGCGTAAAGTAAAAATGCACCAGGCTTCAAACAGCTATGCAGCGCAATCCAAAATAAAAAAATATGATTTAGAAAACATGTCTACTTAACATTTTGTTGTGTTTTTCTGCGAAGCTTGGTATTTGACAAGAAATATCACTTACGAATACAAACAAGTAAAACAAATTTTCTATGATGTCATTCTCGTTAAGAGATATTGACAGGCCTGAAACAAAAATGACTACTACACTAAAGAACTCAACATTTTTAGATTAAATGGAACCTTGAGTGAATGTAGTGAATAAAAGAACATTCAGAACAGAGACAACAATATATACAACCTGATTCAACATAGAACAATCTAATTTGTTTGGCCAAGGTAAGTGTCCCCCCCCTCCTGCTTTTTGTGTCCCTGGTGTGCACATTCCGCATACAAAGACACGAGACCGGGGTTAACGGATTTCCGTGAAATTTGATGTTCGAGAGTTTTTCTAAAAATTTGGTTGACACTAGACACGTCACTCACAAAGGTAGACAATACTTTCTAGCGAAAGCGACAGAAAGTCACGACATGCGTACAAAAAACCTGTTCAGTACTAATTTTGATTTTTTGTATTTTATGCACGTACATTACGCATAACAACTTCAGCCGAGCTCACAACTCGAAGATGGCTGTCTTCTGGGTTGTGCCGTCATGTAGTCTGGTAAAAGTTTACCGACGTTTCAGAGGTCCTTGCTGCCTTCATCATCCACATCACTGCCCACCCAGTAAACTTCTACCTGACTATACGGCGCTAAAAAACCCAGAAGACAGCCATCTTTGATCTAAAGGACGTTCATGTCGTCTCGCCTTGAGCACATCTGATGCAAATACACGTGTTTACAGAACTTTAATGACACATTCCCGCAGTAGCAAGTATGATGTCACGTCCATACTCTGCTGCAAGGAGGGTTTCCCGCCCACACGCCTGATAATGAAAATGTTTTTGACTCCGACAGGGCCTTGAAAAGCCTATGAATTCTCCTGATCACGGGCATGACAGACCAGCTTTCCGAGGACAGGTTCCCTGTCTGACTCAAATTGTACAGTACAATAGTCTACAGCAGGAGCGTACGTGCTAAAATTGTTTGTCGTGTTAACCGGGCTAATACGGTTAACATGAAAGCTCCATCCCTAGTTGGATATCGAATTCGTCGCCGAAGGGGCATCACTTTCACTCAGACTGAACATTCACAATTACAAATTACGCGAGTGGGCTTATTATGAAAAATAATTATCACAATTCACTTTCATGCCATCGTTTGTTAATTCGTGTGACATAAACCTCTCAGCCTTCACAGCAACCTTTATAAGTTGCTGTATTTTTGTCTTGTATGTCACACTGCTAAATGCTTAACAAAAAACAGCAAAAGATTTCGATGCAAAGTAATATATGAGAATGAACATTCGTTCTGCTTGTCCCTTATACTAGGATGAAGAAGCTTCTCACTTCATGTCCGGACTGCAGTCTATGGCTGTTGTTGGTTTGCGTTTTAAATGGAATGCTGTATCAAACGAAGGAAAATACGTGTATCTACTCTTTTGTTTAGAGTAGTACATATATTTTCATATGCGTTCTTTGCGATTTGCATGTTTATGAGTTGTTGGTGTTAATGTATATGCGGACATAATTCAGTTTCACAGTCCGGCCGCTTCATCCTCTGGATAAAGATTCCGTTACCCTTCGGATGCGTCTCAGATAAAGTTTCGTGCGCACATCGTCACAACGGAAACTAGCCCAGGAAGCTGTGCCAAATATAATTGGGTGCATGAAATCACCAGGAAAACTCTTTGTTATTTAAATTTCGTGATTCATTGGCTCTCAAGAACGTACAGTACAGCTGAGAGAAGGAGCCACTTCCTCCTAGCCGATGTGGCTATTTATATTCACCATAAAGGAGTCTGACCAGGTGGTAAAAGTAGGCAACGCTGGTATGTGCATCTTCCAGTTCCTGTAGCTTAATTTGTTAGAGGTCAACTCGGTGGAGTACGTTTAGAAACCATCGTTAAATCCGTCCTACCGCCATGAACTTGAACTTTAGGCTCGCTGTCGCGATGCGCTGGCTGCAAGAACACAGCAGTCTCCGAAGGAACCAGCAAGTTTTTGCATGAGTAACCGACGTTATTGGACGTCATTCTATGACTAACACGAGAACCCAACAGTTACTCAGCTGGCAAAGAAAATTCCCGTATTTTATGGATCGCGAATGTTCATTGCCATGTCAAAAAGCATGTCAGTGCATGTTATTCTGACCCCAGTTGCATCAAATCCATATCTCACCCTGTTTCAATAAAACCCATTCCTCCCATTAGCGCTGAGATCTTCTTCGAAGGTTTTCTGACTTAAATGCTGCATTTGTTTCAACATGCCCCGCCCATCCCATCTTCCTTGGCTTGAAACCACCAATTAGCATTTGGTGAATCGTTCAGCTTATAAAGCCCATCATTATACAATTTATTCATCCTACTGTGACTTAATCCCTCTTATGTCCAAATATTCTCTTAGTGATCTAGAATCCCCATATCTCCGATTTCTCGAGCGCGGCCCTGATAATGGGGACAGCAAACACCTCTGAAACGTCCGTAAACTTCTACCAGGCAGACTACTCCGGGCAATAACGTAGAAGACAGCAATCTCCACTCTCAATATATGTGTGGCAACAGGCAGCTGGGAACATTTAAAATATTATTCACAAACATTTTAAAATTCAATAGCTTTTATTTTATGATATATTTTGACGTGGATAATGCAATTTAACATAAAACTGACTCTGTATTTTAACCAAGTCTTACTTTATCCAGGTAATATCCTTTAATCAGTCAAGTGGTTAGGCAATGAATAGATGAGGAAAGCCTTTTTATGGGCTTCACTATAACTTCTTACTCTTTCATAACAAAAACTGAGCACGAAATCACGTTCCGAGTCTGTTGATAAGCATTTGAACCTACGACAGAAGAAGTACCAGAAGAATGGAGAACACTGCATAATGAGGAACTTGTCAGGCTTCTCCTCAGTCCCTCTACGTCAGGTACTGGCAAGTGCTTTTACTGGTGGCTGCAGGACCTGTCGAAAGAGAAGTCGAATAGTTATAAATTATTTGCCATGACTGAACATAATTTATGCATACACCAAAACACATAACAGTTATAAATAATTAATTTTTACACGATATTCTGAACCCCAACTGATGCTGTCCTATTCTGCTTTCTCATACACACTTGTGGGTATAATAATTGAGGAAATCGACATTGGTCTTCTGGCATGTGACGCAGTGTGGATTTGTAGGTAGGTATTAACATTTACGAGGAACATACCGCCTCCATCTTTAGGCTGCGTTATTAATATCATCTGGTCAAATTGAATTCATTTTAGGGCCATATTCTGCAAACCCTTGATCACGAAAATGTGGGATAGTGCCTTAAAATGCCTTAATATTGTGTACACACACTTTTGTACTCACCGCAATACTGCGTATCGTTTTCTGGGTGTAAAAGAACTTCAGTGGCTTGTTCTATGTTTCGAATATGACGCAAAATTTCATATTTAGCCTATCGTCTAAACTGTAGGACGTGTGCTTCTACTCAAGCGTTGAATCAAACACGGTGTTGTCCACAAAGCTTGTTCGCCTTGCGGAAACTAGACACAGCCACTGAGAAAGAAGTCAGTTTGTGCAAGTGATCATGGGGTTGCTTAAATGACATGAAAGAGCTTTCAGAAGTATTTCATTGTTAGCAGATAGTTGACGTGACTACACTTAGATCTGTGGGAGGAACACTTAACTAGTTAGAGTACATAAAGAGGGAAACTAAGACATTTCTTCTTATCGAATTGCACTTATGACACTGAAGATGATATATTTATAAAATGCTTCCTCGCAGACATAGAGAGCTAAGTGAATCTGATAGAATAATTATATCTAATAACAACATTTCAATGGCGTTATTTTTTTGCGATGAAATTGATAGCGCAGTGTTGGAGTGAAATTTAAAGGACTGTTGATGATAAGATGGTTTGTTCCTGAGGATGGACCACGACCTACGTCATAATTAAATGCATAAACTGAATCAAACAGAAGTCAAGGCAAATTATTAATATTGCTAGCATCAACTGTTAAAATAACAAATAAACGTGACAAATGAAAAACACAAATAACAGAGTACGCTCACGTGGACAACGGACGTTTTATTACTGAATGGCAAAAGAAAGTCCGTCAAATTTGTTATTTTATAAATTTATAATACAGTTATGTATCCCTATCTGTTTGCATTTTTAATTATTATGGAAGACGTAAAGTCAAATATGGAAACATATGCTGGTTAACTCTGTTAAATTAAAATCACTACCTCTGCAGATTGTGGGTGTTTTACAGGAAAGCCTTATCTTACTTTAAAGGAAAAGACTAGGTTGCTAGACACCACTCCCTGTCCTAAGCCAAATGAACCCAGACCACATCCTCATATTTATTCCTTTTCAATATTATCCTCACATGTGGCAAACCTTTGATGGATGACGTCTGGGACGGTTTACAATTGCTACAAGAACAATACTGTACTTAAAATCTTAATGAACCAATGTTAACGTACTGCGCTGAGTTGTGCTGCTTCGTTTGTTGTGGGGGCACCGACCTGTGTGATCCAGGGGACCATAAAACGTAGCTTCTGCTCTCTCTTGTTGGCTTTGCAAGTGCAAGAACTTCTGTGCACAATGATTAAAATGTTCTTGGTTTTCCATGTTAGTTTCACTAAATAATCAGCGTTTCCAAGTCGCTGAGAAAATTATGCAAAAGTTTTATTGCTCCCACTAATACCACTACAATAAAAATGTAAATGCGCTGGCAAATTTTAACATTGCTTTCTTATTTTAGAAATTTATTTTTATAGAAATTATAGTCGTTCAACTCGTCACGAAATTAATTCCTCTTATGGAAGCCTAAAGTTCATTACCGTGTTCATGACAGCCCGCGACTCGACCTTACCCTTCTACCTATATCTGGGGCTTCAAAAATATATGCACTTCCCATACCTGCCATGCATGCTACTTCTCCTGCTCATCCCATCGAAACTTGATTTGTTCACACTAATCGCATTAGTCGCAATTGTTGTTAGTTATGGCCGAGGGCATTGTTCTTTTTGCGTCACACATGCGTGCCTCTGTTCTCAAATGTTCGTTTCTGCTCTTTACTCTGTTAAGTTTCCTCACTCTTTACACGGACCTGCTTTTGTTCTGTTTTATTCATTACAACACGAAGAGATTAAGTGAACACAAAGAATTGAGATTCAGTTATTGAAATTAAAATTCTTGCACCGTTTATTGCAGTTACATAAATACTGAGTCTTCGGTTATGCTGAATGTTTTGATAGATCTGCTCCTTAATGTCAACATGCTTTGCAGTCAATGGCCTTCTAGAACACGCATCGCTGTTGAAGCTGGCTGTTCCCTGGGATATGCAGTGTAGTCTGGTAGATACTGAGAGATATTTCAGGGGTGCTTACTGCCCACATCAAGAAGGCGATGGACGCAGTAAGCACCACTGAAACGTCGGACAATATCTACCAGAATATACGATGCAACATCGCAAAAACTCGAAGTTATGTTTTTATTAAATAATTAATTATCAATTCATCAATGTAGACAAACGGTACAGAGCCTTCCCGAAATATGGAAAAGTATGAAGATTTGGAATGGTTTCAACTGGCTCGGTATAGAATCCAATGGCGGATTTTAGTAAAAGTGGTAATGAATCGTTATCTTCAAAGGCGTGGAGTGTAATCTCCACTCCCGCACACGTCTTCATGTCGTGAAGCATGCCGGTGACGCTTTACATTCACAAAGGAAATGAACAGTATATTACTCTCGGTTTGTTTGCATTATCTGTATATGAAAGGGCACGTTTATTGTTTTCATAAACGTGCAATTAACTTTAAAGTAGAACACGAACTGTTTGACCAGAAAAATGTATCAGCACCTCCAACTATCATCCTAGGTCTCCTAGCAAGAGTCAGGAGTCTATTTTAAATCGAGCCGAAGTCGTTACAGAGTGAGGCTATTGACCTGCATGTGTAAGGCTTTCTCCTGTCCGTTGTAAGCAACGTGACTTATGGAAAGGCTTACAATGTGTGATACACCTTGAAAATATCAAGTCATCTGATAGACACAAAATCGCTTATTTCTTAAGAAGGGATAAATCAATTTGCGCAAAACTTGGCATGCTTACATCGGGAAACCAGGAAGAGATTTTAGGAAGGTCAAAATTTTGGACAAGAGTCATGAGTTCGGGTACCGGCGAGAGGCGTCTTGCAATTCGGAAATTAAGCACGGAGCCAAGATGAAAGTTGCTTGTTTTGACGAGGATACTACAGGGAGAAAGGCCGCAACAAAAATTCTGTCCTGGGTTCGAAACCAGGTGAAAAAGTGGCAAGATTATTGTTCTGTATATTTTATAACCAAATACTTTGAATAAACTTACTATCTAATTTTCTCCGGACCTTTTTATATATACAACCTCACATTATATATATATATATAATTTCTTACGTCCGTTAAATTTTACACCTCTCAGCGTAACACTAACTGTTTCAATGAGTTATGTATTCGATAGTGTTATTTAATAACCTACGTACTGAAGCAACGAAGTGGGAAAATACTGGCCGTTAAATTTTACACCTCTCAGCGTAACACTAACTGTTTCAATGAGTTATGTATTCGATAGTGTTATTTAATAACCTACGTACTGAAGCAACGAAGTGGGAAAATACTGGGTTCAGACCCATCTATGAACTAAGCAACAAATATAAAAACGCACCTTAAAATTGAGTTGGTATTGATGGTTATTTTGGGAAGAATCCAGATTGAAATCCTTCAACACTTAATGTACTGTGAAACTACTGTACCACCTGCTACGGCATTCAATAACTCAGCATTGTGCCCACAGAGCGTGTTTCCGGTTTTCATGAGACTCTCAGAAAAGAAAAAAAATCACTCAACAGCATCAACTAATTAATCTTCTTAACGGAGACGTGTTGTGTTTACGTTGGGGCAGGAAACTAAATTGATAAATAGGTGCAATATTTAGATGAAATTGTATTTCAAAGGGTTCACGATTTTTTTAAAAAAAAATTGTGTTTCCATTCGACTAAAACTGAGATAGACGCAGTCAGTGGATTGTGGTAATGTCAGCGCTGACTCCTGTTGCCTTACAAGAGCACAAAAACCTGATTTTTATTGACAGTCCACTCTACCCTCTTGCCGCCTCACATATTTCATAATGCCCTCACACATCCCACGTTCAGAAATAGCACACCTTATCATCCACTTGAACACTTCACTTGGTTCATCATGTGCACACATGCACGGCCTCTGACTGACTGTCCCTCTCTCTCACACACACGCAAACGCACGGGTACAATGAACGCTGTTCAGAAATATCCAGCGAATTTGTCTGCGTTGAAGGATGCTCAATTAGCAACGCGATAACCCTCCACACTTTTGTTCGCGAAGCAGCAGTTCGAATCCAGTCTCTGTGCCATTTAGATTTCGAACCAGTTAGCAGCTATTTCGGAAAATCGCTGTAAAGTCGTGGCTCTCAGAAGCTTTTTATTATTTTAACCTTTTAAAGTAGGAGCTTATCTACACGACATAAAATAATTCAGTTCGCACCTCAAAGAAAACACAAAACTTCTCAATTACAGAGGTCGACTTCTTAATGCTGTCAAGGAAATAATCGCTGCTTACAGTAAAAATCATTTATTTTTATTATTAGTGTTCTGTCTGATGACAGGTCCATATGAACGGGATCCTTCCATCCTTTTCTCGGACTGGGACCTGTTCATATACGTTCTTGGCAGATAATCCAGAAGTGGTTTGCCATTGCCATCTTCTGTGTGTGAATGGAGTAATTGTTGGTATGCCACAAAGAAACCGGGGAAGCCCCGGAGGAAAAGTCCGTGTTGCCTAGACCACGGCCTTGCCCAACACAAGTTATAAATTCGGGCACCGCCGGGAATTGAACCCGGGACCCCAGGATTACAAGGCCAGCGTTCTGACCGCTAGACCACCGTGGCCAT